GATTCCTTAGGATTCCTGATGAATTCCTCGGGATTCCTCAGGAGTTCCTTAGGATTCCTAGAGAATTCCTTAGGATTCCTGGGGAATCCCTTAGGTTTCCTTGAGAATTCCTGAGGATTCCTCGAGAATTCCATGGGATCCCTCACAGCGTGCCGGCCATAAGTCAAGTGTGAAGGACGCGTAGTTTACATTGGGTTTTCGTACACCTGTATAGAAACCCAACCAAACTACCGGCCAGAAACAGGCCGGCCATAGACGACGGGTGACCCTACTACGACTACGACTACGACTACGACTACGACTACTACTACTACGACTACCACTACTACTACTACTACTACTACTACTACTACTACTACTACTACTACTGCTACTACTGCTACTACTACTACTACTACTTCTACTACTACTACTACTACTACTACTACTACTACTACTACTACTACTACGACTACTACCACCACTACTACCACTACCACGACCACTAACACTACTACTACAACGACTACTACTACTACTACTACTACTACGACGACTACTACTACTACTACTATTACTACTACTACTACTACTACTACTACGACGACGACGACGACTACTACTACTACTTCTACTACTACTACTACCACTACTACTACTACTACTACTACTACTACTACTACTACTACTAACTACTATTACTACTACTACTAGTAGTAGTAGTAGTACTACTACTACTACTACTACTACTGCTACTGCTACTAACTACTACTACTACTACTGGTACTCGTACTAGTACTACAACAACAACTACTACTACTAACTAACTACACTACTAACTACTAACGACTACTACTACTACTACAACTACTAACTGACTACTACTACTACTACTACTACTACTACTACTACTACTACTACTACTACTACTACTACTACTACTACTACTGCTACTGCCCTACTACTACTACTAACTCACTACTACTCACTATCTACTACTACCACTACTACTACTACTACTACTACTACTACTACTACTACTACTACTACTACTACTACTACTACTACGACTACTACTACAAACTACTACTACTACTACTACTACTACTACTACTACTACTACTAGTACTACTACTACTACTACTACTACTACTACTACTACTACTACTACTACTACTACTACTACTACTACTACTACTACTACTACTACTACTACTACTACTACTACTACTACTACGACTACGACTACGACTACGACTACGACTACTACTACTACTACTCCTCCTCCGACCCATTCCTCATCCTACTAATACTCCTCCCAATCCTCCACTCGTCATAATCCCCCTCGTTCCCACAATATTCACCCCCCTATCCTCCCTCCCTCCTCACGTACCTACTCCTATCACTCATCATCTCCTTCACTCATCTTCACTCCCCATTCACCCCTCCGTACCTCAGTCCTACGTCCCTCAGTACTCATACCTTTACTCCCATTCACCTTCCCCTCCTCCATTTCAACCCACCACTCCTCCCTACCCCCTTCCCCCCCCCCTCCGCCTAAGTCCTCCTCCTCCATCCTCTCCTCCTCCCCATCCTCATACTCCTCCTCCTCCTCATCGTCCTCATCTCCCCCTCCTCCTCCTCTTCCTCCTCCTCGCTCCACCTTCCTACTCCTCATCGTCCTCCTCATACTCTCCCTCCTCTCAGCCTCCTCCTACTTACCTAACATCCTCATTTACCCCTACCCTATACATAACTCTCCTCCTTCATCCTACTTTCCTCACCTCATACTCCTCCTCCTCCCTCATCCTCATCCTCCGAATCTTAACTCACTACTCGTACTCCTCACCCTACTCATCTCCTCCGCCTTCCTCCTCATCCGCATCATCCTCCTCCTCCTCATCCTCCTCATCCTCCTCCTCCTCCTCCCTCCTGCCTACCTCCTCCTCCTCCTCCCTCCATCCATTCATCCATCCTTCCTCCTCCCCCCATCCACCCGCCGCCTTTGGGCGACCTCGCCCCTGCCAGGCCAGGGGCGTCGGCGGCAAGCTCCGGGCGCCGCCGCTCCCCCGCGCGCGCGCCGCGCTGCGGTGGCTGCGCTGCGGCGCGGCGAGGCGTCACGATGCGGCGTCGCAGGGAGCTTGCGGGGGGCGGAGCGGAGGAGGAGCCTGCCCCCACGCCCGCGCTTCCCGGGTCCGTTTTCCTACCCCCCTCCTCCTCCTCCCTCCTCCCTCCTCCTCCTACCTCCTCCTCCTCCTCCTCCTCCTCCTCCTCCTCCTCCTCCTCCTCCTCCTCGACCAGCACCACCTCCTCCTCCTCCCCCTGTTCCTGCTCCTCCTCCTCCTCCTCCTCCTCCTCTTTCTCCTCCTCTTTTTCTTCCTCATCCTCTTCCTCTTTTTTTTCTTATTATTCTTCTTATTTTTCTTTTTCTCTTTATTATTATTATTCTTATTCTTCTTCTTATTATTATTATTCTTATTTTTCTTATTCCTCCTCCTCCTCTTCCTCCTCCTCCTCCTCCTTCTGCTCCTTCTCCTCCTCCTCCTCCTCGGCCTCCTCCGATCCCGTTTTCATGCTCATGCCAGAGGCGCGCCATGCGGACACTGTCGCGTACGCCAGCCAGCACTCTGCGTCAGCCAGATGATTTGAGCGGTTGCAGGCGACGGCCCTTTCGCGGGGAGCTGCAACATCTGCTGCTCCCCCGCCGCGCCCCTCCCTTGGCCTGTGCTCTGGCCAGCCCCCCCCGCCCTCGCCCCCTCCCTTCACAAATGCTCCACATGCGTACTACTTACTGTTTGGGCGGGGGTATCATTCTGAGGCATCTCCGCGCAATGTCCCAACGATTGTTATTTCACACACACGCGTGTGTGTATATATATGTGCACATATATGTAGGTGCATAGTTATGTATATATATATATATATATATGTACATAAATATGTATATATACACATATATATAAATATATGTGTATATATATATGTGTGTATGCGGATGTCTGTCTGTCTGTCTGTCTCTCGTTATGTATGCATTTGTAGTTGTATATGTATATGTATATGTATGCGTGTATGTATATGTAGATGTATATGTACATGCATGTGCATGTGTGTATGTATATGTATTCGTAAACTGCATGTAAATGTGCATGCGCATGCACATGTAAATGTACATGTATATGTAAGTGTAAATGTGTTTGTGTACGTCTACGCATGTGTATATGCATCTGTATATGCATGTGTATACGTCTATGCCTGTGTATATGTATGCATGTATATATATGTATATACATGTATACATGTGTGTATATATATGTATATGTATATCTATCTATATATAAGTGCGGTTGGGGGGAGGCGGGCTTGCGGAAGCACTTAGGACAGGGGGGGCCTCCAGAGGGCCCCATCCTTTTTCATATGGCCATAGCACTTTGACTTGGATCCGAGGGGGCCTCGACTCCTCTCTCCGCGCATCAACGCGCTCGGCAAGGGACCCAGACGGTCGAGTCAAGAACGGTCGGCACGGCGGCGTTCTGGGCTGCGATCTGAGGGGGTCGAGGCCGCTCGATCCTTGCGGGTCTTGCAAGGTACAAACAGTCGCCAAGGGTGGTAGCGGGCGGGCAGCAGCGACTGCCATGCAATCTCTTCACGGCCATGCCCAACTCCGCACCCCTGATCTCCCACCCCCGATTTATCTACCGCAAGCGTCTATATAAGTGCGGTGGGGGGGCGGCGGGGTTGCGGAAGCACTTAGGACAGGGGGGGGCCTCCAGAGGGCCCCATCCTTTTTCACATGGCCATAGCACTTTGACTTGGATCCGAGGGGGCCTCGACTCCTCTCTCCGCGCCTCAACGCGCTCGGCCAGGGACCCAGACGGTCGAGTCAAGAACGGTCGGCACGGCGGCGTTCTGGGCTGCGATCTGAGGGGGTCGAGGCCGCTCGATCCTTCCCACCCGCCCCACCCTGGCTATTCAGCCGAATTCTTCTCTCTACGAGAGACAAAGGAAAGTGTATGATGACTAATCCACCTCTAGTGTTGCCTCTGACAGCGCACTGCAAGGATGGCGGCACTGTCTCTGATATATATATATATATATATATATATCTTTGCTCGATGGAGCTCCAACGCCTTTGCAACATCACACGCCGACATTCTTGACGATCGATATTTGGCGCGGCCCCCTGGGAAGAATGTCGCAGTGAGGCGTGCGTGGAGACAGCTCACGCCTGCAGCGGCGCGCTCAAGAGCGGCGTGAAAGGCTGGGAGCGCGCTGCCCCAAAGCTGGCAGGATCCAGCGACAGCGCATCATTGCGCTCGAGCCGCCAGCTCGCCATTGCGGCGGCGACTCGAGCAGGCATCGGAGGCGTTGGCTCGGCCTTCGAGGCGTGACCACACCGAGAAGAGGCGCCATGCCCTGGGATACCGGCGGCGCGAGCGCACAAAATGTTGCACTCTTGACAAAGTGTCATTCGCCTGCCTTGCGGGGCTCTGATGCCTCAGAGATACTTAAGATAATCTTGAAGGCCCGGATTCGCCTTACGCCTTACGCGACTGGCAAGGAGAAACGCATAGCACCCGGAAGCTCCACAAGCCGCTGGCACGCGCGCTGGTACTTGTACCGTGTTCCAGTGTTCGCACGCGTGCGGCCAATGGCCGAGAGCAGCTCGGGTAGCGCACCCCTCTCTGGCGAAGTGCGCCTACCCGTCGGGCAAGCGGGGCGGCGCACCAGCAGGGTTCTTTGCCGATGAAGTGAAGGCAAAGACCGCTTAGACCTGAGCGCCAGCTCAAGGATGGGAAAAGGGGGGGGCGCTACCTCGTGGAGCTGCCGGCTCGAAGACTGGTGCATGGCCAGAGCCCTGAGATCCCATGCTGTCGAGCAGGTGAAGGAAGACGCACGTCTGTCGCGAGACCGACCGGGCCCGCCAACGCAGGGCTGTACGCACTCAAACACATTGATGTGCTTGGCCTGGTCACGCAAACGAGCTGGCGTGCGACCTCCCCTTCCAGATGCCAGCGCTGATATCATGCCGTCGGAGCCTCTTGCCAGACGCCCTGCATCAGCATCCACTCGAAGGTCGGCGCCCGAGTGGCGGCACGCATCACCAGCGAGGCCAACGCCCTCTGCGGCTCCAGGAAGGGCCGGGGGCACCTCTTGTCGCGCTGCTCCAGCTCCGCCAGCAGGACGCCGCGCGGCAGGGCTCGCCTGAGGGGCAGTGGTAGAACAGCCGAGCCCCTTCCAGCTTTCCCAGCTGGTCCGGGAGCGCGGGCTGGGAGCGCAGCCAGCCTCCGAACAGCGCCACGGCGTCGCCGGCCGGCCGCCTCGGCACCACGGAGCACGGGTTCCCCACTTGGAGGGGCCGAGCCCCCAGCGGCGCCAGCCGCGGCCGACGTAGACCGCGCGCGTGCCTCCTGCCCAGCGCCCGCTCCGGGCGCGCGGCCAGCCATCTCCCCCAGGTGCGGGTTCTCCTCGCACGCGGCCTCGCGCCCACACCGCGGCGCCTCCACGTCGCCGGCCCAGAGTCTGCGGCTTATCGAACAGCCCCTCGAGCTCTCGTGGAGGCTCCGCAGGGACGGCACTGCCACCAGCATCGAGTGGCGCACCGCCCAGAGGCTCAGCCACCAGGGTACGACCTCGCACTGGAACGAGTTCCCAACGAGCGACCGCCGCAGGGCCTCGAGGCGCTCGGGGTCGCTTTTCGCGGAGGAGCTGCTCATGCAGAGCACGCTGCGGCTCCGCCTGAAGCCCATCAGCACCTCGCGCTCCAATGCCCGCGGCGGCTCCTTCCGCACGTCCGCCCAATGCAGGCAGAAGCAGTCCTGAAACTGGTAGGGCGGCCTGCGTAGCTCGCCGCCGTCCAGCGCGCCAACCCCTTCGGCGCGCACTGGCGGAGCCCCGCGGGCCGCGGCCGAGGCGGGCTCCGCATCGCCCAGCGCGCGAAGGTCGGCAGGCGGCCACCTGCGGCGGGCCCCGGCCAGGAGGCCCCGCGCGGCGGCCACTCCGAGACGGGCGGCAGCTCCGTCGCCAGCCGCGCTTGGCAGGCCCGCGGCCAGGCCCCCATCCGCCGCCGCCGTCATCTCGGCCGACTTCTTGACGGCGGGCAGCCAGCCCCACGACAGCCAGTGCAGCAGCGGGCGGCGGACCCAGTATGGGTCCGCGGCGTCGAGGGACTCCGGCACTTGGATTCCGTCGTTGGTATGTTACTATAGAGGAAGCTATGAAGCAAACGTTGAAACACATATTCAGCCAATCTGTGCATGTGCAGTTTGTTGAAGAAGGACGGCATCAACGCGACGTCAAGGAATGTCATAGACGCGAGTCTTTGGCCTAGACGCACGTCGCGCACGACTACCCAAATAGCGCAGTTCTGCAACCGGTAACTAGTTTCTGGGGGGGGTGCACGGACACGCGAAACACCGATGAACTCAGCGTTAGCTGGCAACTGCCTCACCCTCATGCCCCGTCCCCCGCCTCCTCCCGCATCCCCGTGCCTTCACCTCATCCCCCCCATGTCCGTGCGATCCCTCCCCCTCCTGATACCCCTCCCGCTCCTCGTTTTCGCGCTCTCCAATGCCCTTTCATGTCGTCCCTCCTCGTCCTCCTCCGCCTTGCGCGCTCCCCCATCATCCGTATCCTTGCCCTCCTCCCCTCCCCTGCGCCCTGGCGCAGCGCATCCCCATCCGTTTGCCCACCCTCACTTTCCTCGTCCCCGTGATGCTGAAACCGAGGCTGCAACTCCTCCTGGGCCCATTTACGCCCCTCTCCTCCTCCCCCTTTCATCCCCCGGCCCCTTCGCCACCCCCCCTCTCGAATCCCTTCCCTCCCATGCCCCCTCATCCCTGACCCCCGCGCCGTCTGCCCTCCCAAACCACGGCCCCCTCCTGGACCAGCCGGGAGATCCACGGAAATTCCCACCCAGTGGCGACTCCAGCGAGTAGCGCGGGGCAAATGCACAGTTTGACACGCGAACTGTGTATCTCGCGAGCGCAGAACGCCCCCCTTGGACCAGCCGAGAGAAATGCGAATGTCCCCGCCCAATCGCCACCACTCGCGAGGAGCACACTCCAAATACACAGATGGGAACAAGATCTGTGTACACAGATCACACCACGATGTGTGTAAACAGTGGACCCACGCACGCGATTACACAGTTGAAGACGCAATCTGTGTACACAGATCACACATTGATCTGTGCATTTCAAAAAGGTGAACGCTCGCCACCTCGAAGGTGCCCCTACTTTGCCAAACCAGAATCGAGATCGACATGCCCAGCCTGGGAGGAATGCAAATACACACTTGCCTGGCCCAGGGCGGCCCCGGGGGGGCTGTGAATGCACAGTTCCCTGGCCCAGGGCGGCCACCGTGGGCTGCGGCGCCAAGGCGGCCGAATCTGCCCCGAATACGTCCCTAGAGGGCCCCGATGGACCCGCAAGGCCCCGCAGCAGTCCGATAACACGAGAAGTGTCACATGTCACGGACCTCTGAACAAGCATAACCTCAAGCGTCGCCATACAAACAGCTGCGCTGGCACGGGGGTGGGCTTTGCCGGGGGCATGTATAATTTCGCTTTCACATGTTCGCGATGCGTTTGTGTTTGGCGGCCGCAGCCGCCGACGCTTGAAGTGCTCCCCGACAACTTGCTTTGGCACCCTCTACTTGGTTACGTCGCTGTGCTCGGACATCGAACGGGCGGTATAACGCCAACGCGGGCACGCGGCTCCAGGGACCTCGCTTGCCTTCGAGCAAGGAGGGAGGACGAGGTGAATCGACGGACGATGGAGCGGGGAGGCAAAGAAAAAAACGGAACGGGGAGCAAGGGGGGGCAATGGGCGCTCTCCCGCCCGAGCCGCGGACGCTTCGACCCCCGCCCAGGGGGCGAGACAAGAGGACGAGGGAGCAAGGAGGAAGAGGAGGACGACGGAAAGCACCATAAATGTGATCCACATGTATACCAGATGCTGACGGCTGGGGTGCGCGTATTTTCGAGGCACTTCAAGCCCGCCCCATGCTGAATTCACTGACTCCTCCCAACTGTGTAAACACCCTGCCCTCTGTACCCCCCTCCTATAGAACTGCCTCACAACAGAGGGGCACTGGATTCCAATCCGGCACTCGGCCGAACATCTTGTTCAAGGCCAGCACCTCGTCCTCTGCCATGGACGCCGCGTTCTCCCTGAGAAGTCCACCGCGGCCTCGGGCACCTCGCGCCTCAGCCCCTCGATGAGCCTCCACATGCGGCCCACCCGCTGCGACCTCGGGTCCGCGCTCCCCCCACGGGCCACGTTCGCCACCGTGAAGCCCGGGCAGGAAACCCCTTGATCACGATCACCTTCGCGATGCGGCCGTGGCCCCTCAGGAGGCCTGCCAGATGAGCAGGATCTCCAGCCGTGCTGCCCCCCAGGTGCACGGTGCTGGGGTACGCCAGACGAGCCACGCGCACGGCCTTGGCGCCCACCTCGAACGACAGGTGCGCCACCGGGAACAGCCCCGGGATCTCGAAGGCCCGGCGCACCCCGTCGATCCCCGAGAAGACGGAGAGCAGCGCGACGCCCCCCTCGCAGGCCGGGCTGAGGGCCCGCGGGCCCCAAACCCCAAGGGCGCGGCCCATGTCCGACAGCCCCTCGGGGTAGACGATCGCCTCCGCGGCCTCCGAGGCGTCGGACGCCGTCGCGAGGTGGTCGACGGTCAGCCGCATGTCCGCCACGCCGAGCGGCCCAGGCGCGGCCGCGGTCAGCAGGTCCTCGGCGACGCCCAGGGTGGTGAGCCAGCCCGAGCGGCCCGACGCCAGCCACTTCCCCGCGTTCACGAAGGCGGCGGCGAGCGGTCTCCGATAGCACTGCACGCGAACCCAGCGCCCCAGCAGGGTCTGCACCAGCCGCCGCCTCGGGCGCCTCTTCGCCAGGAACCACAACGTTAGGCCCACGAGCTCCGTGACGTAGCCCAGCGGCGGCTGCTGCGCACCAGCCTCGCCATCCACGAGGCCCCCCAAACTGGGAACCTGCTGGGCACGGTGGGCATCCTTGCCCGGCGATGCGAGGGGCTCAGTCTCCTCGTAGCCGGCCGACGCCCGACTCGAAGCACGGGGATGGCCCCCTTCAGCTTGACGGCTTCTTCACTCGGCGCGATCTCCGCGATCTCGAGGTTGTCGGCGTAGACGAACCACATCGCGACGCCGCTTGCCCGGGGCTCCGCGGGCAGGCGGCGGGCGCGCACCACCTCGGCCGCAGGTGGCAGCCCGCGGGGGGCTGAGGCCGACCGCCTCAGCATGTGGCGGTGGAAGTGCGTCGTCACCCCGACCGCGCCGATCCAGCCCACGCCGCCGACTCTCGATGCGATGCCGGCCAGCCCGTCGCCGCTGCCGCCCACCAGCCGCCGCGGCGCCGGCGGCCCCAGCGCCATGTAGGGCCGCCGGGCGGGGGGCTGAGGACGCAGGAGACCGCGTTGCGGCCCGCCCCGCTCCAGCGCAGCTGCTCCCCTGGAGCCGGCGCCAGCCCGTTCAGCTGCCCCATCGTCGGCGTGACGAGGGTATCCCCCGCGATGACGCGCTGGCACGCGTCCGCGAGGATCAGGTTGACGATGAGCCGCAGGACAGGCCGCTCCTCGCCGTCGCCGCAGCGGGCAGGCGCGACGTGCACCCTCGCCACGCCGAAAGCCTCGTCACTCAAGGGGGCCCCGTTTCTGATCGCGACCTCGCCCTCGTCGAACGAGACGACCATCCCGCGAGCAAGCAGGGCGCTCACCACCTGCTCCCACTCCTGCGCCGTCGCCCGGACGCGCGCCGAGGTCGGCGCGGGGCGCCTCTGCGCCGGCGGGAGGAGGGCCAGGGCGGGGTCCAGCAGCGTCGCCCACACGCGGCCCGCGGCGGGATCCGCGACCTCGATGGAGGCGGCTACCCCCACAGGCGGCAGGCCGCCCTTGACCTGCTCGAGCGTGATCTTGCTCGGCGCGGAGACCTCCGAACCGTCGTAAGCGTTGGCCCGGTCCTTCAGCTTCTCGGACCAGTTGAGGGTCCCCGCCCTGGCGGGCTCGAGCGCGACGCTCGAGTAGATGTGCCGCGCGATCCCGAAGAGAGCCGAGCGCTGGCCCGCATTCGGCTCCGGCCCGCAGACGGCGGCCCACTCCAGGTGGCGGCAGCCGGCCTCCCAGTATATAGCCATCACGATTACCCGCGAGCGAGACTGCAGTGAGGCCAGGTCGCCTGGGTCAATCTTCTCTTCCACGGCGAAGTCCGAAGCTTCCAGATCGGGACAGGGTAGCGGTTGCAGGTCACGCTGCACCCGCCCCCGTCTAGTTGGCCGATGCCCGCTGTGCATGAACTTGACCACATAGACCCCAAGCGACCCTGGGTACTCCTGCATCAGCTCCTCGAGGATCGGGCGCGCGTCCAGCGGGCGGCGGAAGGACTCGGCAGCAGCCCTAGCCTTCTCCTGCCACGTGCGGAAGAGCACCGCCAGGGGGGCGCCCGCCTCTGGCAAAGCTGCCCCAGCGCGGGCCGTCTCCCGGCCTGCTGCAAGCGAATCAGCTGGCGGCTCCGGCTCGCCCATGCAGCCAGCGCGAGCTACCGCTGGGCCCGGGGGGTTCGCATCCTCACGTGCATCATCACCTGGGCGCGCCCCAGCCTCCAGTGCTAGCGACCCCTGCCGCGGCCCTTCCAGGGCGCCGGCCGGCCGCGGCCAGGAAGTCCCCCTCTCGGCGCCCGACGCCCGCGGCGCATGCCCCAGCCCTTCGGGCTGCCGCCCCGCACCTGGGGAGCCCCTCCGCCGACCAGCGCTGCCGGCTGGTCCTGGCGAAAAGCGCGGGCTTCGGGGGCGCCCAGCAGCTCCGCGCGGCTTGGCGCCGCCGCAGCACCAGAGCGGGGGCTGCCCCCGCGGGGCGTTCTCGGGGGGGGCGGCGAGGGGGGCCACCCCCCGGCGCCGAAGGGCGCTCGGGCGGGGGACCTCGGGGCCTCGCGAGCGGCTGCGGGACCCTCCGGCCCCCTGGCAGCCCGGCCCGCGGCCGCCGCGGCCCCGCCGGGGCGGGCTCCGCCACGCCTCGCTGCGGAGAAGGTCCGACCGCGGCGAGCGGGGTCGCTCCCGCGCCCGCGGCTCCGCCCTGGAGAGGGCCCTCGGGGCGGCCCCGAAGCCGCCGTCTCCTCGGGGCAGCGGCCGGGGGCTGCCCCTCGCGCGGACCTCCTCCAGTCGCCGCCGCAGCATCGCCGACCTCCGCACCGACTCCTGGTCGTCGCGGGAGGCGAGCGTCGGGCGGATGCTCTCGCCCGCCTCCAGCTCGATGACGATGTGCCAGCTGCCGTCGTTCAGCGCCATCTCCAGCGCCCTGAACCGCCGCTTCAGCGTGTCCGCGACCGCCGCCAGCGAGCTGTCCTCGAGCAGGTCCATCGCCACGGCCAGCGTCTGGAGGTCGCGCGCCGTCCGCTCCCCGACCGAGTGGAACGGGTGGTGGCCGAAGACCAGAGCCTGGAGGTAGCCCTTGATGCGAGGACACACCGCCTGTCCGAAGGCCCATGACGCGCTTGATCTGGGCAGCCGCTTCGTTGCACAGCGTGCCTGGGCGCCCGTCGGCCACCGCCAGAACGGCATTCCCATGGGAGGGGGCGATGCGAAAATCCAGCTGGTCGCCGCCGGCCCGCTCCTCGCCATCGCTCCGCGACTGCTCATCACGGCGTCGGCCAGCCACCAGCGGGCGAGCCGCAGGGCCGGCCGCCTCCGCAGCAGCCGCAGCCGCCGCGATCCTAGCCGCAGCCCCCGCGAGGCGGCCTCTCTCGGGCGCAGGGGGGGCGCCATCCCCTGGCCCCCCGCCGCCTGGCGGTCGGAAGGTCAGCTGAACCCACTGCTCGACCAGGCTTCGAGCCGACCGTCGGCGCAGCCAGTCGGCGTGCCGTTCGCCGCGCCCGCCCAGCCGTGGGGCCCTGCAGGCCGCGGCGCCGCCCGCACAAGGGTGCAGGACCCCTGGCTGCCTGGCGCCTGGGGCGGGGAAGCTCGGGCCCAGCTCCAGGGCGTGGGCTGGCAGCGAGACGCCCCCGAAGCTCACGGAGATGTAGCCCCCGTCAGGGCCCGGCGCGCGCGCCTCCACGACCTCGATCGGGCGCCGTGCCCACGACCTCGCCCGTCGGGTGTGGGCGTCTCCAGCACCGTGCTGGCCGCGAAGGCGTCGAGCTGCAGGGCCGGCGGGCCAATCCAGGAGACGTCCACCAGCCGCGCCAGCGCCACGGTGCCACCGCCGGCGGGCGCCGGCCCTGCAGCGGCCGCCACGCCGCCACCTCCGGCGCCGGCAGCATTCGCTCCTGGCAGCGCGAGGGGCCCAGGCGCCGACGGCGCGCCAGGCGGCGGCCCCTCTTCTGGAGCAGGCAGCGCCGCCAGGGCCCCCACAAAGTCAGCGCCGGCCCCAGCCACGGCGTCGGGTGGCGCCCCAGGCGCGTCGCCCTCTGGCGCGGCGACAGGCGGGCCTGGCAGCAGTCCAGCCGCAAACCCCAGCGGGGGGGCCCCAGGCAGCAGGGGGGGTAGCGCAGCAGCCCCCGCGCCAGGGCTACCAGCCGCGGCTCCCACGGCCTCCCGGGCGTGGCCACGCCTGCGGCCCGCCGTTGCTGCCCCTCGGCCTCCGCCGCGGCCGCGCCCACGGGCGCGTCCCCCGCCGCGCGCGATGCTGGGGCCCTGAGCTGCCGCCTTGGCCCTGCCCTTCGCCTTGGCCTTAGCTTTGGGCGGCATCCCGGACGACCTCGTCCGCCAGCCCTGTCAGCGCCGCCAGGAGCGCCGTCAAGCGGCGCGCATGCTCCAGCAGCAACGCTCGCTCGCCCGGCGTCAGCTGGGCCCGCCGGGCCTGCTGCCGCGCCAGCGCCAGGAGGCAGCCCCGCTCGCACACCTCCCAATGCCGGCCGTCCAGGGTCAGCGCCAAGGACTCGTTGGGGCCGAGCCGGCCCGAGCAGCACCCGCCCGCAGCATCGCCCAGGCGGTCGCGGAGGCCAGCCGGGCGGAGGCTCGGGAGGTGCGGGGGCTCCCTCCTGGATTGGCTCCCAGGCTGGCGGCGGCAGCCCGGAGCCAGGATCAAACATGCCCCGCAGGACCAAAAGCCTCAAAAGACTGAGCCACAACAGCGACTGCCATGCAATCTCTTCACGGCCATGCCCAACTCCGCACCCCTGATCTCCCACCCCGACTTATCTACCGCAAGCGTGTTTTTATATATATATATATATATATATATGTGTATGTATGTATGTATGTATGCATGCATCTGTATAGTTGTATGTGCATGTAAATGTGTAGGTATATGTTTATGTATATGTATATGTACACACAATCATACTATAACCACGCGCGCTTCGAGCGCGCTTAAGATCTAGTTGGGCATATTCAAAAGCTTTGTTGTGATAGGATGTTGCCGCACATGCCAATGATCCTCATTTACCGAAGGTTAACTGGGGATTGATTGAGCGCGGGACGTCGTGTTCTCCAACTCCCTGCCCTCGTCACCATCTCACTTCTCGATGAGAACCAGCAGCAATAGCAGCACGATCAGGGTCGACAAAGGGGAGGAGCAGGAGCAGCAGGAGAAGGTTTTGACGGAATCCACCAACACCGATCCAACACCACGCGAGCGCTTCGCGCGAGATGAGGTTCTAGCCGACTGCGCAGTCGTTGTCAGTAGACCTTGCGCTAATCCGCGGGCCCCAAGATATCAAAAGGAGAGGTTCTTCAGGTAAGGACCGACCTTGTCGCGTGGAGGTGCTGGGCCTTTGGGGGCATAACTTCGGGTTCGGTGGGCAGTCGCGGAGCCGTGCGAGATTCACGTGCGACGTGTCGGAAGGCTCCCAATTTTCCACAAAGTACGCGAGTGACGCGAGCGAGGGGGGAGAATGAGGGATCCAGGGTCGAGGATCGAGCTTTGTCAATTATGTTGGGCCTTCTTGGGCCTCGCGGGGTTGCTTTCGTCGCCGCGGTCGCCCAGGGCCTTGGGCTCCCGCAAACGCTCGTCCAGCGTGCTGGTTCTGGCCGCCGCCGCCGCTACATCCGCAGCCAGCGTCGTCGTCATCGTCGTCGACTCTGCACGTGGTTGTTCGGAGACCTCGGCAGGCAGTGGATATGGATCTATAGTCGGGCCCTGCGTCGTCGTCATCTTCCCCAAACCCCGGCCCTCTCTGACGAGGGGGAGGGGGGAAGGAAAAGGCAGCGGAGCGCGGGGGACCAGACCGGAAACACAGAAAAGATAAAAGAGGGGGGGAGCAAGGCGACACAATGTGTAGGAACACGAGCTGGTATACGAGGAGAGTTCGCAGGAGGTGCCAAAAATAAGTAATGACGGGACGATGATGTGCGGGAGGATGAGTCGGCGAGGCACTTGTCGGGACAAGCCTTCTCGAGGAAAGTGAACAAGTCAATTGCGATTCGGTAAAAGCAAATATAACTTGACAAGCAGCAAAAGCCAGTTGCACCAAAAGCGCAGCAGCACCTGCTCTTCAGTCGGCAGGTGATAAGTTTGTCGAAGAGAAGGGAGAAGCATCAGGAAAGGCCTCGCATCGCAGCCATCGAATCACATTGTGGGAAAGCGCCTTGACTGTAGCTTCAAATAAAACTGCGAATCCACCCACCTGCATGGCTGGCAACATGTTTTGGCACGGTCTGCCACACGGGACGTCGCGCACTTGCTGCGAAAAGCCGTCTCTAAAAAACTGACAAAGTAAATGACGTTTCGGTGTGAAAGCAGCTGAGGTGAGACAAGCGGCTAAACACACTTGAGCTACAGCGAAACAAAAGCTGCATTTCGCAGTCGACTGGTGACAAATCTGTCGCAGAGAAAGGAGAAGCATAAAAAAAATCTCCGACTAAAAACATCAGTCCACATGATGGGAAATCACCTTGATTGCAACTTCAAATGAAGCTGCGAAGCCACCCACCCGCAAGGCTGGCAACATGCTTTTGCACGGTCGGCCACTTGAGATGGGGTCGCACTTGTGGCGAAAGGCCTTCTCGCGGAAAGGAGCTAAGCCCTGCTGTGCCAAGATGGACATCGAGACCGCCCGCCAAGGAGCTTCCAAAATGGTCCAAGGGGGCCCCAAGAAGCCCCAGTAGGCCCCCGGCATGCCAAAAAGAGGCCCCTAAGAGGCCTCCGAGAGGCTTCAGGCAACCCAAAACTACCTCCAAGAGGCTTAAGGCCCCCCAAAAAATCCCAACGAACATCCAAAATGTCGCTGACCATCCCAGGCGCGGTGGCGGGATGGGTCGAAAGCCGTTGTATCCGCCGCCCCCTGTGGTCTTGCCACAGGGGTGCGAACCCTATACTCGGCCTGGTTGTGGTTCTTTTTCAAAAAAAACTCTCCCCTGGGGCTGCGGCCCGTCCCGCCGGCCACGAAGAAGAGGTGGCTGCAAACACAAAATCGGCCGTTTCGTTCGAGACATCCTCAACAAATCGCGATCGTGGGGATCCCAGCTCAAGTTGCCTCATGATAAAGGTAAGCGCTTCGCACGAGACATCCTCGAAAAATAAGGGTGAATCGATGGCCTCATCTTCGGATATTCCAAAATGAAAATCTATCCGCAGACATCCTGAAAAAATGCTGCTTCAAAAGAATGAATCGAAGATCATTTTGGAGCGCTCTCGGATGACCTCCAAGATGGCCCAAGAAGCGAACATATTGAAGAACCCTCGGGTTTGTTAAGCACTTGTGTTCAGCAATAAGCGTTTCGCTCGAGACGTCCCCTCAAAATTGTCTTCGGGGGCGCTCTCGGATGACCTCCAAGATGACCCAAGAAACGAACATATTGAGAGACTCTCGGGTTTGCTTAGCACTGTTGCTCACAATTAAGCATTTCGCTCGAGACATCCCCTCAAAATTGCCTTCGGGAGCGCTCTCGGATGACCTCCAAGATGACCCCTTCCTCCTTCCCCTCCTCCTCCTCCTCCTCCTCCTCCTCCTCCTCCTCCTCCTTCCACTCCTCCTCCTCGTCCGCCTCCTCCTCCTCCTCCTTCCCCTCTTCCTCGTCCTCCTCCTCCTCCTCCTCCTCCTCCTCCTCCTCCTCCTCCTCCGCCCACTCCTCCTGCTTCTCCTCCCCCCACGCGTGTTCCCCGAATGCCCTCCTGACCAACTCGGGGAACAAATGGTCCGATGTCTAGGCCAAGCCTCAGCCCCCACGTTCGGCCACAAATGCGGTTCAACAAAAGCAGGGGGCGGCTGTGATTCGCCGTATAGGCGTCTTCGAGCCGCCGCCCCCTGTTGATTTATCACATGGGTGCCTGGCGTGCTAAGGTTCAGAAGGTTTTTGGGTCTGTTTCAGACTCCTCCTAGGGCTTCGGCCGCTGCCAACAGCCACCCAGAACCACTCCCAATTTGCCCGGAAGATTGCCTTTCTCGCTCCTACATGGCCTAAGATGGAACCCAAGATGCCACCAATAAGGCTCAAGAAGCCGCCAAGACGGCCTAAGATGGGCCCAATATTGTCCAAGACGGCCCAAGGGGCCCCCCGAAGGCCTCCAAGACGGCCCAAGAGGCCATCAAGAGGGCCTCCAGGAAGGCCCAAAGAGGACAAAATCATTGATTTTCCTTTGGTTGTTGGTGGATGTGAGCATGTGACGGCTCCAGGAGGGCCCCGAGACGGCCCAAGAGGCATCCAAGCTGACCAAGATCGTCTCCAAGACAACCCTGCACCCCAAGAGGGCCCCAAGTCGGTTCAGAGAGGCTCTCAAGACGGCTTCCGACGGAGTCAGACGGGCCCAAAACACCCTAAGACGGGCAAAGAGGCCCCTAAGAAGCGTCCCAAGAGGCCCAATGCGGCCCCTAAGATGCCTCCAAGAGGCCCCCAGGAAGCTCCCGGGAGGCCCCAAGAGTGCCCCCAGAGGCTCCCAACACGCCTCCTCCTCCTCCTCCTCCTCCTCCTCCTCCTCCTCCTCTTCCTCCTGCTCCTGATGGTGACAAGGAGGATTCGCATAGCATCACGCCCCCCCAGGACGACTGGGTTTCTCACGCGGATCGTGTCCCGGTTGGAGTTCCACCGACAGTCCCAAAGCCAACGTGCGTATGCCGCCCTCCCGCCCATGGCGGTACACCCTTGACCTCGACCGTGAGTTCGGGGTGTTTCGGTTACTTCCTGGCGCCCCTCAGTATGTTTTTGTGGAGCCTCTGGAAGTCCCGAAGTGGATATTGCAGGACGTAGACACGAGACCTCCCATACGCTTATGGGGGCCTACTGGGACGCCTCCCGGGAGCCATTTGGAAGCAATGATGGAATCTCTGGGACCTCTCCAAGCCTTCCTTGGGAGTCCTTGTGGGCCTTTTTGGGCCCGTCTGGGGGCCCGCTTCGGCCGTCCCGGGTCCCTCTTGGCCCGTCATGGAGTTTGGGGCCGTCTTGACCATGTAGGGATCCTCCGGTGGCCCCTTCGGGGCTCCCTGGGGCTCTCTTGGGCCGTCTTGGAGCTCTCTTGTACTACTTGAAGCTCTCTTCAGGCCGTCTTGGGGCCCACTTGAGGGCCTCTTTTGCCGTCTGGGGCCGATTTGGGGGGCCTTTGGGGCCGTCGTGGCCGCTGTTAGGATTGGAAAAGCGAACATCCCTGAAATATGCGCTTTTCCATCGGAAATGTTTGATTTTTGCCCTTGGGGGGGCCCCCCAGCGGCCTCTTGGACCGTCTTGAGAGCCTTCGTCGCCGTCTATGAGCAATCTTGGGCTGTCTTCGAGCGCTCGGGGCCCGTCCGCAGGCCATCTCAGTGCGTTCTTCAACCATCTTCCAGACAACCTGGGGCGTTTTGGGAGCCCCTTGGGCCAGCTTGGGGGCCTCGGGGGGAGGGGGTCTGGGGCCCCTTCTGGGCCCTCTTGGCCCTCCTCGGGGTGCCGAGGGGGCCTCTTTGGGCTTCCTGAGCCTGCCTTGGGCGGCCTTGGAACGGCCTCGGGCATCCCTGGCCTGTCTTGGGGCCCTCCCCACGGCGCCCCAGGGCGGTCGGGAGGCTCCCCGAGCCAGCGCCCCCCCGCAGGGCACGGTGTGCGCTTTGGGGGGTCTCCTGGGCTGTCCTGGGGGCCCTCTCGGGAGCCTCTCAGGCCGTCTTGGGAAGGTCTTTAGGGCCTCTTGGGCTGTCTTGGAGCGTTGGAAGTTCCAAAGGGCGAGATCGCGATACTCTACACCCCTCATTGTTTTAGCCTTTGGCCTCTTGAGGTCCTCTGGTGGGTCGTCTTGGAATCCTCACGGGGCGTCTTGGGGATCTCTTGGGCCGTCTTGAGGCTGTTTTGGGCGCCTTGGAAGGCTTTTTGGCTGTCTTGGCGGCTTCTTGCCGTCCTCCTCGTAGGCCATCGTGGAAGCCTCTGGCCTAAAGAGCCCCCCAGTAGCCTTGAAAGGGGCCTGCTGTCTGGGGTTTGGGGGAAGTGGGTGGCCGCCGCTTACATCATATACGACTCCATGCAGGAATGGCCGGAGCGTAGATCAGCTCAAGAATGCTCGAGCTACAGACTCACAAGGTGCTCCGCCGTGCCGCCAAGCTCACATTCTGAGGGCGCCTCCAGCTTCTCTTCGTTGCCCTCCCTGTTCTCTGTGCCCACCGCCTCCACGAACTCGCCAGGGGCAAGCACATCGCCGCCTCTCTCCTCGCGCTCCATTGCCAAGAGTATCTTCTCGGGCGCCAGGGCGGCAAGCAGATCGGTCAGCTCCTGGTACGTCACGGTGCCCGACCTGTCGCTGTCCAGGACGCCGAAGAGAAAGTCGACCTCCTCCTCTGCGGGGACGCCACGAGGAGGAGGAGGAGGAGGAGGAGGAGGAGGAGGAGGAGGAGGAGGAGGAGGCTGTGCACCAGCAGCGAGCCTGGCCAGGCCCCTGCCCGGCCCAGGACCGGTGAGCACGCCCTCCCGGCCTGGCCGCGGAGGCGCACGCGCATACCCGTCCCGGGGCACAGCGCTGGCCTTGCCAGGATCGGTGCCGGTGCACGGTCGACGTCGTCGGGTCCTCGGTCATGTTCAGCTCCGGGAGCCTTGCGATCTTCCTCCTGAAATCGTCTGGTGTCAGCTCTGGGTGTGCGCGGATCTTGCCCCTCGCCTTCCCGAGAAGCCAGCCTGTCCAGCCGCCCGGCGAGGGCCCCGTTTCGGCCTGCACGAGCGTGGGCCTCATGATGTCGCGGATTGCGTCATGCTGTCTGCCAATGGTGCTGCGCAGTGTGCTCAGAATCGGTGAAGAATTCGCCGAAATTCGAATCGATGGCGAGTTCGAGCCTGATTTCGAGATTGCCCTGGCCAATTCCAGCATACGCATGCGAAACCGAATGCCCTGCTCCAATCTCTCTTGCAAGTGGCCCGACCTTGACTCCCGGAAAATTTGGAGCACTCTCTGGCCGTGATCCCACACCTCATGATCCTTTCCGGCAATCAACCGCTGCTGCATCCAACGCGAACTCTCCTGCTGACCAAACATCACATTCTTGATATTCTTGCCCGCCTCAATAAGCAGGGCGAGGTCGCTGTCACCAATACCGGCCAGCCTCCCAGCATAGTCTTTCTCTGGCATTATCAGCAACGCCAGTGACAGATCACGAAGATGCCACATCGCTCGTGCTGCTCTGACCTCCTTAAAGCGGACACGCTGCAGTGACGATAATATGTCTCTGAATAAGAACACACAAGCAAATACGAAAGTACTCGCTAGTGCTGTAATTATTAAATGCGCCCAAATTTCATTCATTCTCTCACGTTCCGACGCTGGGACGCTCTCCACGTCTACGAAAGAGGTTGTGAGCATCAAGAGGATTATCAGTACGGTCTTGCACATCAGCTCTACCCAATTATTGGAAGCAAACCTCCAAGGCCAAGCACCATACATGAAAACCGTTACCAGAAACATGCACAACGCGCTTGTATAAATACGCTGCCCTCTCGAGCACGGATGTGGGAGATGCCTCACGCAAGAAGGGCCACGAAACACCACCACCACCACCTCCGCCGTGCCTGGCCAGGGCCATCTTAAGCCTCGTGGCCAGTCATGGCGATGGTGAAAAAGTGTCTGCTGCGGATGTCTGCTCCTCCCCGGCGCCCCTCCTGGGGGTGCATTTTGCACGCTCGAGGGGAACGGAAATGGGTGCCCAATGTGGGCCGGGAGTCCACGGGAGCCCCAGGCCCCCCGGGACGAGCCCAAGACTGCCCCCGAGCGGCCCAAGCGCTTCCCAAGACGGCCCCGATAACGCCCCAAGACGCGGCCCAAGGCAGCACCAGAGGCGAACCAAGCAGCCCCGTAAGCCCCCAGAGGGCACAAAGACGTCCCAAGAGAGCCCCAAGACGCACCCATACAGCCTAAAAGAGCCCTGTGAGGTATCCAAAACGCCACCAGAGGCCCCTCAGGGAGCCATCGAACAATGCAAGAACGCCCCAGCTAAACACCAATAGTCGTTGCAAAGCCTTCCCTGTCCGCAGCTTTCTCACATATTTTCTTCTGTGCGGGGATGGATTAGCTCTTGGGCCAAACCTCGCCTCTCCTGGTCAAAACCTTCCACGAATTGGGCCCTGGCTCGCCTATGTAGGCGGCCAGGTTCCCGCCAGTTCTTCGAACTGGCGTCCTGCCGTGGTTTCACGAGAACGTCCCGAAAAGGAAAACCAAAGGAACACCGTTCGCAATGCGACTCGACGACGCCGAAAAAGAGGGGCTATGCGCTATGCCGCGGCCCGCGTCATCCCTGAAAGCAAAAGCAGAAACAGAAAGAGGGAACAGGGAAAGGCGGGCGGGGGAAGGGCCCAGACGGAACCCGGGGCCCCCCGAAACCCTGGCGGGGGTGCCGTCGGGAAGTAAACACGCGCCGAGAACGAAAGGTAAAGAACGAGCCCCGCCGAAGAACCCCCAGCCGGGGGCTTTCAGGTCAAGTTTACCCCGGGAACCCACCTAGGAAAAGAGAGGAGGGAAGCACACCCAGAACCCCAAAACGAACACTGGCGCAAATTTGACGGGAGCAAAAGAGAACACTGGGATACGGCCCTCCTCATGGAAGGGGAGCGGCGGCCAAACCCGAAGGCGGCTCTGAGTTCTTCAGCTGCAGGAACTTTTATTGAAGTAGGCGGTGATGAGGTTTTTCTACAGATGGAGGTCAGTGTTCTGCGGTCGTCGCCCCACGGGTGGACGATCCAGTACAAGGAGAGCGCCAAGAAGCTGAACAGGGAAAGGTTGACATCAAAACACGACGAAGCACATTGCCCAGAAAACGAACATGAGCAAAAGCAGCAATTCACGGCGAACCCAGCCGTTAACCAAGAGAGCGGCGAGGGATGCGAAATCATGAAACGACGGAGGGGGCCAACAGGACACCCGCGAGGCCAAGAGAAGAAGCCCAGGAGCGAAGCCAAGGAGCTCGAGAACGAACAGCCGACCCCGGGGGTCAGAACCATCCTCAGGAACAAAACCGAGGAGCTCAGCACCATCCTCAGGGCAACGGGCTCCCCTGCCGCAGAACGGCCGACCGTCGCTCGGCCTCCGCGCTCTGCCTGCGGGAGGCCCCCGGGCCAGGAAGAGCTGCCTCCGGTGCTCACCCCCCCCGTTGGCTCCCGGGCACCGCGGGCGGCACGGGCGCGGGAATGCCTGGCACAGGCTGCCGGGGTCTCGATCCTGAGCGGGGCACCGATGCAAGCTGCGCGTCTGCCGAGCGTAGGGCTCCTGAAGTGCACTGACACGGGCAGTCCGCGGCAGGGCGACAAATAACGCCGAATGCTGCGCCACTGGAAGTTACCACGGGTCGCACAAACTCACACCTAAGAGCACCCTCGGCCCAAACGCTAACCCCCAAAGAGAATTCTACAGCGCCATGAAGACACCCGGAGTCGCTACGGGTGCAAGGCGGCACGAGTATCACCGCGCGTCACAACAAACTGATTTGCCATAGCGTCGGGTTCCCCTGCAGCAGTTACTTCAGCAGCAGTCCCCGCCGCAGCGGAGACAAACATCGGCGAGCGTTTCGCAACAGCTTTCGCCGCCACAAGGGGAGGCGATCTACCCAGGTGCTTGGCGCCAGCCTTCGCCGCCGCAGTGGAGAGAGACCTGCCAAGATTTTGAGGCGACTTCAGCGGTGGCGACGACGTCGGTGGACGCTCAGCGACAGGTTTCCCCGCCGCAGCGGAAACAGACCTCGGCGAACCCTTCGCAACAGCATTTGTCGCCGCAGGGGAAGCGCTCTCGCGGAGTGTTTAGAGTCTGCCTTCGTCGCCGCGAAAGCACGCGCGCCTGCTTTCCCTCCCCCCCCCGTTTCGCGCCCCTCCGTTCCCCCCAAATGGGGGGCGGCGCGGGATGGCGAACGGTGACCGCGAAGGCGGTGGCTCTGGCCGCCAGGGCACGCACGTTGCCGCGGGCCCACTCGAGCGTCCTCGCCCTGAACCGTTGGAAGCCGACCGCGCGCGGCCGCGAGCCGGCCGCGGCGGCTGCGCCCTGCCTCTGCGGCCCCGAGCAGGCTTGCTCGATCCCCGTGGGAAGATGTCTCCCAGCGCGCTTTGCTTCAGGGCTTGCAGGAGGAGGAGGAGGAGGAGGAGGAGGAGGAGGAGGAGAGGAGGGGGAGGAGGGGGAGGAGGGGGAGGAGGAGGAGGAGGAGGAGGAGGAGGAGGAGGAGGAGGAGGAGGAGGAGGAGGAGGAGGAGGAGGAGGAGGAGGAGGAGGAGGAGGAGGAGTTTGAAGGCTGAGGCGGAGTGCCGGGTGCTTCGTCACCGGGGCCAGAAGCGGCCTCCCATTTTCGAGCGTCCTGGGGAGGCACCGTTCTGCGAGGCTTCTGCGGGCGTGTGTCCGCTGTTGCCTACATGTGTGAAGGCGCATGTGTTCTCACGCCTGCAGCCCCCGTCTTGGCGGCGCCAGGGCATCGGCCTGCGCCTTTCTTCGCGCCGCGGTCCGAGGCACTTGCCTGTCAAGGCAAACTATTCGCAGATCTTGCGAGCTCTCGGCCTGCTAGCCGGTCCTGAAGGTTTCTTATCCAAGTGCTCTGGGTGATACCACGGGTCGCCCAGAGATGCGCGCGCGCCTTTCTGGACCCAATCGCCACGCACTCCTTTGCTCGCCGACGTGGCCAGGCGCCCCTGTCTGCTAACACCATTACCCTGCGTGCCATTTGCAGACCTACTAGGACTCTAGGAGGTTGGTGCACTTGTCGCGAAGCTACTCGTAGCCTTTGTTTGGGTCGCCTCGTTCCATCCTGTGATCTGCTGCCTTATCATAGTCGAGGTCACGACGGTGTTCGATCGGCGTTATGAGCAGGGTTTCAAAGATGGAAGGCTCAGGTCGGGATTTCATGCCCAGGAGGGTGCGACTCAAATCCTTACTAAACTTGCATAGACTGCTGTCCTTAACTTTGGGGTGGGCGAAGTCAAAGATGCAGCCGTCTGTTTCTACCACCCTGCACCAACCCAAAATCGCCAAGCAAGGCCTTATTGTCCTTTGACGAGCTAGCCGTTGGTCTTAGCTTATTCCTTCCGTGTATTCGTGTATTGACACTCCTTCTAACGTCATCATGTCTTAGGATGATGCTGCGTGCCGCGGCATACCGAGCGTCTCGAACTCGCCACTGTCCGCGAGGGGTCTCCAATGTTGTTGCCGCATCCTCAATCACATGGAGCCAAACGAAACACTTATCTGGTCTATCTGAGGTAGCCTGTCTCGTCGTCTCACGCACTTCCTGATTCCACTCTCGGAAGTACGACGCCGAAGGTGGGCTTCGGTGTTCAGCGTTGCCGGCCTCTTTGTGCTTCGTTCTGTGCAGCCGTATCCGCACTGCATCCTCTGCGGCGCTCTGCCCATCATGATTCGATGAACCACGGCTCGCGCCGCCAAGCTCATCCCCGAAGGGTGGGGGTGGCGCGCCTCTATTAGGGAGCCCACAAAGGACGTACGCGCCCAGCCATGTACATGAACACGGCCCCGCGGTTCGCGAGACCCGCCGCGTGATACGAACATTTGTGCAAGGCGTGCTCTCGAAACCAGCGTGGACATTCATGCACACGCACGTCCTCGTTGCGCTCCTGCTCTGTGCCCTTCGCCGTGGAGACGGCTGCCTCCGCCCAAGTGGGCCGTGCATCGGCGCGGTGCGCTCGCGCCGGCCAAGCTGCTCCGCACGGGGTGCGGCGGGGCCGCCCTGGCTCTGCCGAGCTCGTCCTTGGCGCCCGCCGTCTTCACCACGGCTGGCGTCGCACCGCTCCGACGCCGCCCCGCGCGGGCGCGCCGCGCGCGGGGCGGCGGGCTCCCCCCGCCGCGGGCGCGCGAGGGCCGCGAGGGCGCTGTGCGCTGGGGCTGCTGGCGGCTTGGCCTCGGCGCCCGTCCACTCCGCCAGTTCGCCTGGACGTGGTGGCACGGGCGCAGGCCGTGGCGGCCTCCTCACTGGGCCCGCGTGCCTCGTGACTGACCGGTGATGTCTGCCTAGAGCAGAGGTCGCAGAGGCACGCCTCTCCGATTCGCTTCGGTCATCGTTCGCCATTCTGTTGATCGCGCCGATCAGCTTGTCCAGCCTGGCAAATTCGGTACCCGCCTCATTTCCAATCCTGCCCAGGCTCATGGCGCTCATCGCTTTCTGGCTCTGGAGCTGGTTGGTTACTGTAGTCGGCAGCTACAGGTTCGCATGCCTTGAATATTTCGCACGTCGAGACGGCCAAAGAAGGTCCCAAGCGGGTCCAAGAGGCCCCGAAAACGGCCGCAGAGGGTTCCAAGGGGGGCCCCAAGAGCACCTCCAAAGCCAACAGCATTGACTGTGTGTAATGTGTTTAGCAAGATCTTCGCGTTCTCGCCGTTTTCGACTTTCGGGGCTGACAGCCCAAGCCGCCTCCAAGATGGCCCCAAGACGGCCCCAGAGGCCCCCAAGAGGGCCCGAAGAAACTCCCAAAATGGTTCCAGAGGCCTCCCGGACGGTCCAAGAGGATCCCAAGAGAGCCACAAGGCGGCCCCGAGAGGCCCGCAACACGGCCTCCGAGGGGGCCAGGCGGCGCAAGAGCGCCCCATGACGGCCCACGAGGCTCCCAAATGCCCCAAGAGGCCCCCAAGAAGGCTCCGAGAGGCCACCAAGAAACTCCCAAACGGCCCCAAGAAAGCACCAAGAGGCCCGCGGAAGTGTGTACAGATGGCGCGCTGTTGCTATGCTCATCGGAATTTGAACTTGGCGTTGCCTTGTGCTGACATGCGGTGAATGCTCGTTGCCCTCATGGACATTCGCGCGCTCGTCCCCAGCGCTGCAACGGGAAGCGGGGGGAGCGAGCGCATCCCCCAGTGTGGCGCTGGCAGCGCCCCGGGGCGGACAGAACGACGCGGCAGAACAGCGCGGCAGACGAGCAGGACAAACTACCCAACGCCCAGTCTTTGGGTGCTCCAGACGTGCACCCCGCGAAGCGAGAGGCACATGAGATTGCACGTTTTTTGGAAGAACGACCTGCACGAGGCAGAGGGAGAATCCAAAGGACATCTTAACCATTATCCACCACCAGCGGTCTGGACGCTTGGTGCCGAAGCAGAACCTGTACCGCTCAAGAAATCCGGGCTCGGTGCCAACCCGCCGGGGCGCAGTGAGAACAGTATATGCGACGTAAGTGTAGATACTGAGGCCGTACAGGCACGTCGCGAGCATGTTGATCGGCAAGTACAGCATCCACTCTGGGGATCCATACTCGAGCTCTGGGAAAGCAATTACCATGTCTTTGTCATTGGGCATCTGTTCTGTGTAAAACAGCGAAAGCGAAAGGGCAACCAAAGAAATGAAAAGACCAGTGAAGACAAGGCAAACCATATTGTGCACAAATTTACGCTTCAAAGTCCTCCCGCAGATCATGAATAACAGCTGCATGGCCGCGATATTCGCAAAGAGCACAAGCGGTGTAGATGTCTGTTCCAATATGGTGAAAGCTAAAGTGCCGCCAAAGTTGCCGAATGTACATTCGGGCTTCAGCTCAAGTTCCTTGACGACGCCAGGGACGGTGAATCTGTTCAGCACATCCAGGAACCATCGAAAAGTTGCTGGAGCATCGATGTCTAAGCGGCTGAGAGTCTGAACTATCTGGACAGACTCGATCAACGTCTCGGCAATCCCTTGGCTCGAAGCTTTGGGGCTATTGCAATTGATATATCCGCCACCGTGCCTTCAGCAGGTAGCGGAGCGCGGCAAGGCTCGTGAAGTTCTGAGGGCTCTGTTCTGCAACAGTCCGACAGGCCGAGGCCATGGAACATCCAGGAACTCTTGGGCGTTCATGGAGCCTGTCGCGTGGGCTTCCGGGGCGGCGGCCCCGCCCAAAGCGACCCGAAGAACCCCCAAGGTATCCTGAGAAGCGCCCGTGAAGGTCAAAGGGCGCCCCGAGACGGCCGCGGGAGGGCCCAACACTGCCGACGATGCCCTCCGGAAAACCCAGACTGCTCGAAGGAAGCGTCAGGAGGGCTCCGAGAGGACCTCCCAAGAGGGCCCCGGAAGAACCCAAAACATTGTTGCGCAGGTTGTTGAACCATGGGCATGTTTTCACCCGTTCTAGCTTTCGACGCTCAGCGACGGCCCACGAGGCCCCCAAGACGGCCCAAGAGCGCCTCAAGGGGGCCGAAGAGAGGCCCGTGATGGGGAGCACGAACCGAATTTTCGAGCCCTCCCCCCCAAGATGACTTGCGAGACAGCCAGGACGCCCCCCCCCCAAAAATCCGCCGATCCAGCGCGTGAGTTTCAAAGACCCTCAGAACAGCCTGAGCCTCAACTCCTGAGTTTCAGTTCTACTGGGGGGTGGGTGCCGGGGTGGCTCTGCCGGGGTGGGGGAAAGGGGTGTGGGGGGGTCGATTTAATTCCTGGGGCAGAATCGGAGCTCCAGCTCACTCCGGGACGGCCCCCTCGCCCAGGAGGGCCCTGACATGGGCCGAGAGGGCCCCGAATCACCGAACGATCGTTACAAGACGCCCGAGATGCCCCCAAGACGGCTCCAGAAGCCTCCAAGATGCCCTCAGAAGCCCTGACCAAAACCTCCCAAATAAGGCCCCCCAAAACAACAAATGCTTCATTCCCTCAGGAAGACGTACAACTTTAGCATATTCGCTTCTTGGGCTTTCGGAACGTCGCAGACGCCTCCAGAGAACCCCAAAAAGGGCTCATAATGGCCCAGGAGGCTCCCTGAAAGGCCCAAGAGGGCCCCAGGACGGGCCCAAGAGGCGCCTGAGAGGGCGCCAAGACGGCGGAAAAAGTGCCGAAAACGGCCCAAAAAGCCCCCAGCAGGCCCCCAGAGGCACCCAAGAAGCTCGAAGAGGCCCCGAAACGCTTCCAACTGGCCCCGAAGAGGCCCCCTGAAGCCCCTTAAAGGCCCCCGAGAGTCTCAACAAATGCCTCCAAGACGCCTTCTGGAGGCCTCCAAGCTGCCTCCAAGACTCCCCCCGAAAACCTCAGAGCTGGCCCCAATGCTTCCGCGACGTTTACGTATGAACACAAGCGCTGCAACGCAAAAAAATCTTCCACGCTTTTGCAGATTCTCCCGTCTTCGGTGTCCTTCACATCCATGATCTCACACGGGCCCGCAAAAGGACCGCGCGAAGGCCCCAGAGACCCCAAAAACACAATGGTTCCCAGCAGAGACCGGTGATGCACAAGGCCCCACAAAGGACTGTGACGCAGACAGCTCTAACGCAAAGTTTTCAGAGAGGCGAGGTGTCAACCCAGAAAGGGCCAACACCTGGCCCCGAAGAGGTGGTCCAACAACCGCCGAACATCTCCAACAACCACCGAAAAGCTCCTCATCCTCGTCATGCTCCTCCTTGTTCCCCTCCCCCCACTTCCCGCGTCCTCCTCCTCCTCCTCCTCCTCCTCCTCCTCCTCCTCCTCCTCCTCCTCCTCAGCATCCTGCTGTTCCTGCCCCCCCCCCGCCCTCCTCCACCTCATCATAATCCTCCTCCTCCTCCTCCTCCTCCTCCTCCTCCTCCTCCTCCTCCTCCTCCTCCTCCTTCTCCTTCTCATCCTCCTACTCAGTTGCCTCCGTTCCCAATCCTCATCGTCATCCTCACCTCTCGCCGTCGTCGCTGGTCATGACCGCCATCGCGCGCTTCCGGCAGCAACGGAAGCGTCCCAGATCGGCGGCACTGGCCGGAAACCACTACAAGAAACTCAAGGAATCCCCAAGGGACCCAAATCAGGCCCCAAATGACCCCGAAAAGACACCCCAAAAGCCCCCGAAAGGCCCCAACGACATCACAACACCGACCTTAAGAGGTTCCCAAGAGGCCCCCCGCAAGATCCCCCGCATGCATCCAGGAGGCCTCTGGCCTACAATCAAGGCAGGGTGGCGGTATAGGCCGATGGCCATCAGATCCGCCGCCCCTTTTTGATTTATCACAAGGGTGCCTGGAAGGCGTTTCTTCGGCGATGACGGGCGTCATGGGGGGGGGGGGGGCGGGAGGGGTATGACGTGACGCCCCCCCACCGCGCGCACGACGCGACGAGCGACGAGCGCGCGGGTGGGGGGGGGCTCCGGCACCACAGCCGCGCCCGCGCGCACGACGCGACGAGCGACGAGCAACGAGCGACGACGACAACGCGAGCAGCATGTAAGTGGCGATCTGCCCATTGCGCCTGTGTACACCACAACGCTTGCGTGCACCACACCGCGCGCGTGCACCACAGCGCCTGCGTACACCACAACAGCCGTGTGCAACGCACTGCCCGTGTATACCACAATACTTTGGAGCACTACGGCGCCGGTGTACATACACCGCAGCAGCCATGTGCAACACAACGCCTGTGTACACCACAGTGCTTGCGTGCACCGCAACGCCTGTGCACGCCACAGCGCCTGTCTACACCACAGCATCCGCGTGCAACGCAGCGCTGGTGTACACCAAAGTGCATGCGTGCATAGGACAGGTAGAAAGAGCATGTACGTCAGGATCTGATGCGGACAACTAAACGCCACGCCAGGAAAGTTCTGATACTCGAATGCGACGTTGTCCCTCCTCCCTCCTCCTCCACCTCCTCCTCCTCCTCCTCGCCCTCCTTTTCCTCCTTCTTACCCCCTGTCGTGCGGCTTGGCGTTACAACGCACGTGAGCATCTCAGCGTGCACCGCAGAATGGTCGATTGAATCGGTCCACTTGGTTCTCGGACGGCCAATGTAGCTGGAGCCTCCTGGACGCAAATGGGAGTTAGGGTGATGCGGGCGGACTCGAGGGGACTCGTAGATTTCAGCTGCGCTCCATTGTCCATTGGGATTTGTTTTCCATTGTTTTCTCTGGAATCCACACGCGTTCCATTTTGTCACAAGGATTCCTTCTGAAATTCTACACACAACAGTGGCGCCGTGGTGCACACAGGCGCCGTGGCGTACACAGGCACTGCAATTTACGCGACATTGTCGTGTATACTGGTGCTCTGTTGCGCACGGCTAATGTGGTGTACGGAAGCGCTGTGGTATACACAGGAGCTGCTGTGCCCGCAAGCGCGGTGGCACAAACTGACGCTGTGTTGCACGCGACGGCTGGGGTGTACATCGGCGGCGTGGTGTACACAGGCGCTGTTGTGCACGCGGGCGCTGTGATGTACACAGGCGTTGTGGTGCATATCGCCACCTACATGTTCGCGCTACCCGTCCTCCGTCATTCCTAACCATTCCCAAACGCCGGCGCGAAACGTGACGTCATCGACCCCCTCCCCCCCAGATGATTGCCGTCATCGGCCCGGACTTAAAAACAGGCTCCAGCCGCGTCCGCGCGCACGACGACGATGAGCGACGAACGATCCACGAGCGACGACGACGAACGACGACGACGACGACGACGACGACGACGACGACGACGACGACGACGACGACGACGACGACGACGCCTGCGGAGCAGACACCTATGCGGATTCCTACGCGGACACCTACGCGGATCCCAATGCGCACGGCGGCAGTGCCCGGAGCGCACTCGGGGGGGGGGAGCGTTACGTCATTGGGGGGGGGGGGGGGAGCGGGGGCCATGACGCCCGTCATGCCCCAAGCAATAAAGAAATGGCCTCCTGGCGTGCCGAATGATATGGCTTTTGCTTTTGGCTCTTTTCCCAAAAATCCCCCTGGGGCTTCGGCCCGTCCCGCCGGCCACCCGGAAAAGATCTCAAAACGCGTCCGTCGTGCCTCTGTTTCCTCCAGTTGGCCCAAGACGGCGTCCAAGACGGCCAAGATGGCCCAGGATGGTCCCCAAGACGTCTCCAAGACGGCCCAAGATGGCCTCCAAGACGGCTAAGATGGCCCCGAGATGCCTCCAAGACGGCCCAAGATGTACCCAAGACGGCCTCAGATAGCCTCAGGATGGCCTCGACATGGCCCAAGACGGCCCAAGAGGCCTTCAATACGGCCCAAAAGGCCTCCAAGAGGTCCTCCAGGAAGGCCCGAAGAGGCCAAAATTATTGATTTTCCTTTGGTTTTTGAAGGAATTTGGGATTCGCTTCTTCTCGGCATTCCGACGGCTCAAGACGGCCCAAGAGGCCCCCAAGAT